ATTCAAGGTGAAAGGACTGCATAATGGCACGACTACTGAAGCCAAGGGTCGTTGGTGGCCATCTTCGAAGCTGAGTGGCAAAATTTTTCAGGAGTTCCCAGCTTCGTATGTAGTATATTCCAATGTCTGGGTAAGCGTCTTGAACTTCACACTAATTGAGGGCACCAAACCACATGCCCATGGGATTGCTATAAACTAACCCAATCATCCTGACAAAAGATGGGAGAGAGAAGAGGATTTTCTTACTGATCTAGACCCATCACAGCCTTCCCTCAAGCTGAATGTGAGTTGGGTCTATTCCACATCAATCACTATTGCTACATAATGAGGAAAAAATGCAATGTATATTGGGAAAACAACACACAGTGTTCCCAAAAGCTAGTAAAATATTTTAGATGTTTTATCCAAACTGTCTTTTTTGCTTCACAGGTATAATCCATGAAGACCAAATAGAAGATGATCGTCTATTCATCATTTCTGGAATTCTAGCTACAATAATGTTCTGGTGGTAACTGATAACTAGCTTTGTTCCAAGAAAGACCTCCTTAGATTTCAGCCCCCTGCTTCCCAGTCCCTAACTGTACAGTGACTTCCCCTAGATAGAGGAGAACCATTTTTCCAACAAGGATAACCAAGTCCTTGCATCCCTAGCTGTAAGACATAAGATTTTTATTTACTTGAAAATTTAAATCTTAAGTTGAAACGTTAATAAATATTGATCTTATTGGTTGACAAACATTTGAGAACATTCCCATTTTGGCCTCACAATCTAAACTCTAGATTCTAAAAACAGTGAAGAGTTCAATAAATGCAATCTAAGATGAAGCCCTTTGGAAGTGTAGTCACTATTCTTTTAAAGAAACTGTGCTATAAAATGGTCCTGAGCAGTGTAGTTAATCTTACAAGTCCAAAACAGGAATATTCCAGAATTTTCTGGACTCAACTAGAAAAAGGAAACTGTAGTTTATTTTCAAAATTTACAGTTTTTTCAAAATGTCTGTCAAGCATGCAAGTTACAAGGCCTCCAGAGCAGTTCAGGGGTAGGGGGCCCTCAGACAATCTGGGAAGCCTTACTGGAGGGCCAAGAAACAAAATAAGAATCAGATCTACACTCTTGGACACTGGAGGAAATGACAGCTGCTAGAAGTCTAACCATGGAAAGGGTCCAGAAAGCAGCCTGGTGGAGTGAGGAGCTTAATGGACAAGAATCTACAAGTTCAGTAAGTCACAGGCTACAATATACAGAAATCAGCTGCTTTTGTATATTAGCAATGAAAAATCCAAAAAGGAAGAAAATTCCATTCACAGTAGCACCAGAAAGAATTCAATACTTAGTAAATTTAACAAAAGAAGTACAAGACTTGTGGGGCGCCTGGGTGGCATAGTCAGTTAAGCGTCTGACTCTTGATTTCAGATCATGTCCTGATCTCAGTGTCTTGAGATCGAGCTGTGGGTTAGCTCATGCTCAGCAGTCTGCTTGAGATTCTCTCCTTCTCCCTTTGCCCCTCCCACTTGTGTGCTTGCTCTCTAAAATAAAAAAATCCTTAAAAATAAATGGAGTGTAAAACTTATATAATGAGGGGCACCTGGGTGGCTCAGTTGGTTAAGCATCTGCCTTTGGGATCCTGGGATCAAGCCCCACGTCAGGCTCCCTGCTCAGCAGAGAGTCTGCTTCTCCCTTTCTCTTTCCCTCTGCCTCTCCCCTGCTCATGCTCTCTCTCAAATAAAAATAAAAATCTTAAAAAAAAAAAAAAACTTGCATAATGAATACTATAAAACAGACATTAAAGAAGGCATAGAGATATTCCACGTTTATGAATTAGAAGTTTCAGTTATTAAGATGGTAGTCCTCGGGCGCCTGGGTGGCTCAGTCGTTAAGCGTCTGCCTTCGGCTCAGGTCATGATCTCAGGGTCCTGGGATCAAGCCCCACATCGGGCTCCCTGCTCCGCGGGAAGCCTGCTTCTTCCTCTCCCACTCCCCCTGCTTGTGTTCCCTCCCTCACTGTCTCTCTCTCTCTCTGTCAAATAAATAAATAAAATCTTTAAAAAAAAAAAAAAAATGGTAGTCCTCCCCACATTGGTATAGATCAATGCAATCCCTCTTAAAATCCCAGTAGGCTTTTTTTGAAATATTTTCAAGCTGATCCTAAAATTTCTAGGGAAATACAAAGGATTTCCAAAATAGCCAAAACAATTCTGAAAAACACTTCCTGATTTCAAAACTTACTACAAAGCTATAGTAAGCAATACAGTAGGATACTGATAGGCATAAAGATCAGTGGGGCAGAGGGGCAGCTGGGAAGATGGCTGAGTAGGAGGATGTTAAGCTCCCTTTGCCCCATGGATACAAGTAGGTAACACTCACATCAGTATAAACCCAAAAGATGATGCAAAGACTGGCAGGATGAACTCCACAACTAAATAAATGGTAGACAAGAGGCCACATCAAAGAAGGTAGAAAGGACAAAGACATGGTCCGGGAGCAAAGCGGACTAGGGCCATCCGCAGCGGGAAGGGAAACAGTGGCACGAAGGACAGAAAACACTTTCACACTGGGGAGCCCATAAATGGGGAGAACGAATCCCCATAATATTTGCCTTTGAAAGTGAGAGGAGGCCAATTTCTTGAGTTCTTACAACCACTGGGACTTAAGAGGCAGGAATTTTTAAATCAATGGGCTCAGCTCCAGGAGAGCCTGGAGGGCATTAGGAAGCAGAGTTCCCACCCCTAAAGAGTCTTGGACAGATACAGCACAGAACCAGCAGTTTGAAACCACCAGCAGTAGATGGGAAGGAGAGTGAATTGTTCATCTCAGAGCATGGCCTGAAGAGAGGGATCACAGGGAGACCCCTCTAGGAACAAGGGAGCCAGCGGGTGCCATTTCCCTCCCCTGCCCACCACATAAACAACGGATACCTGCAGGAATCATTGCAGCACTAACATTTGTTACCTAACTTGCTTACACCAAGCCCCACCCCACACTTGTGCGGATCCACCCTTCCCAGTCATGATCACCTTAGTCCAGTCACTGTGGGCCCCCTCCCTGAGAAGACCCGTGGAAACCCTGCCAACACCACATCTGACTGGCACATTGTGCAGGAACTCCGTTCTGGCGTGAGCAGGTCTCATTTCACTAGCAAACCACCACACACCTTGTTAAACGCTGCCCACAATAGGCAAACACAGCCTCTGCAGACAACCGGACTGAAGAAAAGAGAGGGCAAGACTCAACAGCAGAGCACACACAACACCCATAAGAGACATTCCCTGAAGCACCAGGCCCTGGAGAACAAGCAACACTGCACGAAAAGATCTCTTCTACATAAGACTTTTATAGTTAAGAGCAAGAGAAGTAGCTGACTTTCCTAACAAAGAAATAGACACAGGAAGTCCGACAAAACAAGGAGACAGGGAAATAGCTCTTAAATGAAAGAACAGGACCAAACCACAGCAAGAAATCAAAGCAAAATAGATATAAGTGGTATGCCTGATAGAAAATTTAAAGTAATGATCATAAAGCTACACACTGGACCTGAGACGAGTGGAGGACATCAGTGAGACCCTTAACACAAAGATACAAAAGAATCAGATGAACAACACAATAAATGAAATTTAAAATACACTTGATGGAACATAGAGGAGGCTAGATAAAGCAGAGGAAATAAAAACGACTTGGAAGACAGTAATAGAAAGTAAGCTGAACAAAAGAGAAGAAAGAAAATAGGCAGATCGAGAATAGTCTTAGAGAACTCATTGATTCCATTAGTGTAATAACATTTGCATTACAGGGATCTCAGAAGAGAGAGAAAGGGGGGCAGGAAATTTATTTCAACAAATAGCTGAAAAATTCCCTATATATCCAGGAGATCCACATATCCACATCCAGGAGGCACAGAGATCTCCCCCACACACCACCAAATTCAACCCAAGGAATTCCACACCAAGGCACACAGTAATTAAAATGGCAAAAAGTAGCAATAAGGAAAAAAAATTTTGCAGCTTTTTCAGCAGAAACTGCAGGCCAGAAGGGGGTAGCAGGATATATTCAACATGCTGAAAGGGAAAAATCTAGAGCCAAAAATACTCCTATCTACAAGGATATTGTTCAGAATATAAGGAGAGATCAAGAGTTTCTCAAAAAAGGAGTTCCTGACCACTACTAAACCAGCTCTATAAGAAATATTAATGGGGACTCTGAATGGAAAGGAAAGACCTTAAGTTGAGAGTATGAAATGTAGGAAAACACAAAAGTAGTAAAAAGTATTTCTGTAAAAAAAAAAAAAAAAATCAGTCAAGGGTTTCACAAAAAATAAAAGGATGTAAAATACCATATACCTAAAATTTGTGGGGCGAGAAGAGTAAAGAATGGGTTTGAACTTAAGTGACCATCAACTGCTATATGCAGAAGATACTATATATAAATCTAATGGTAACCACAAATCAAAAACCAGTAACATATCAAAGAATAAAGAGAAAGGAATTCAAGTATATCATTGAAGAAAGCCAATAAACCATGAAAGTAAGGATCAGAGAAAATCTACAGAAACAACCACAAATAAGTAACAAATTGGCAATACTTATTTATCAGTAATTACTTTGAACATAATGACTAAACACTCCAAAAGACATTTTTTTATCTACTCCATCACCTTATAAGATCCATCTATATGCTACCTGTAAGAGACTCATTTCAGACTGAATGGCACCTGCAGATTGAAAGTAAGGGGATGGAGATACATTTATCAAGCAAATGGAAGTCCAAAGAAAGCTGGAGTAGTAATACTTATATCAGACAAAATGCCTTTAAAACAAAGACTGTTAACGAGACAAAGGACACTATATACTAAGAAAGGGGATAATCCAACAAAAAATACAATAACTGTACATATTTATGCACCCAACATGGGAGCACCCAAATACTTAACAGTTATACAAACACAAAGGAAGTAATTGATAGCAATACAGCAACAATAGGGGACTTTAATACCTCACTCACACTGATGGACAGATCATCCAAACAGCAAATCAAGAGGGAAACAGTGACTTTGAATGACACACTGGACCAGATAGACTTCACGGACATATTCAGAACATTCCATCCTAAAAGAGCAGAATACACATCCTTTTCAAGTGCATATGGGATGTTCTCCAGAATAGATCACATGTTAGGCCACAAAACAAGTTTCAACAACAACAACAAAAGAAAAAAAAAAGTACTCTCATGCATCTTTCCTACCACAACACTATGGAAATCCATCACAAGAAAAAAATCTGGGAATAATACAAATACATGGAGGCTGAATAACATGCTACTAAACAATGAATGGGTCAACCAAGAAATCAATGAGGACATCAAAAATTACATGGAAACAAATGAAAATGAAAACACAACAGTCCAAAATCTCTGGGATGCAGCAAAAGTGGTTCTAAGAGGGAAGTTTATAGAAATACAGGCCTCCTCAAGAAGCAAGAAAAATCTCAAAGCAACCTAACCTTACACTTAAAGGAGCCAGAAAAAAAAACAATAAATGTAACCCAGAACCAGGAGGAGGGAGAAAATAATAAGGATTAGAGCAGAAATAAAATAGAAACTAAAAAAACTATAGAGCAGATCAATGAAACAAGGAGTTGATTCTTTGAAAAGATCAATAAAATGGATAAACCTTTAGCCAAACTCCTTAAAAGGGAGTGGGACCCAAGTAGGCAAAATAACTAATGAAAGTGGAGAAATAACCAACACCACAGAAATACAATTATAACAGATTAGGAAAACCTTTATGTCAACAAAATGAACAACTTAGAAGAAATGGATAAATTCCTAGAAA